GAGCGAAGAAAACGCGTTGGATTGCGGTTAAATGCTAATTAATAGGGGTTCCTATTGCCACAGTGGCACTGGAGTTCGAAGAACTTTTAACGCTGACAAATGAGTCCAACCCTGGAATGGGATTTAGGATTGCAAGAGAACTGTTCAGCGCTTTAAGACGCAGCTGAAAGTTCTTTAACGTGGCTTAAATATTAATAGCAGATTACGTATATGCCGCGTTCCAAGCTCTCAGTTGAGTCTCTTCGACTGCTCCTGGGAATTTAGTGGTCTCACATTTATATAAAATATATTGAATATGCTTCTGCATTGGGGTTCCTTTTGAAGAGTTGGTTTAATATTTATAGCATATTCCCAAGGGTCAATGGCTTTAGTGTCTATTTGAAAATTTAAGCACGCAAAAGGTTCGCATATTAATTTTGTAACTTATCTTGGCACTGTTATTTATAAGGAGCATGCGACGGCGCCAAAGACATGACAAATTTAGTATAAGTTTTAGTTTCAAATACCCAATTCAACTCAGCAACTGGAAAGCTATTCGACTAGTGTTCAATTAATACAGTTCTATTAAATCGTTTTTCTTCGTCTTTACTAACCTACATGATTCGTAGCATTTAATCCGGATTTTTTTAGTTTCTTTAGTATATTGAATTCATAAATCTCTTTGATATAGCAACTACTTTCCTTGCTCTCATTTATACTGCATATTTCACACACACTTTTTTTTTATTGCTTATTGCAAATTAATTACATCCCCTTTCATTTTTTATGCACACTCGATAACCGCATCTCAATGCAATTCATCCTGATCCCAACATGTGTGCAGTTTGCAATTACAACAAGCCGCCTCTGTATTGAAGAGGGGGCGGCTGGGTGACTAGGCTGACAGGTTTGCATATTTCATAGTAGCTAGGCATAAGTGACACTTGTCAAAACACATTTTCCACACCTACCACACGTTGTCGTTGCCGCCGTCTCGCCTCTCTCTCTCTCTCTCTTCAGCTCATGGTATTTCTGCGGGGCACAAAAGCATATTTCAAGTGCGGCACTTCATGTGCGTCAAACAGAGAGCAGTGTGTGTGTGTGTGTGTGTGTGATACAGTTAGACAGAGATGCATTGGGGTTGAAAGAGAGAGCCCCATCAAAAGCGAACCGAACAGAAAAAGTGCTCAAGTCGAAAGCCCTTGAGTTGTTTTGCAACATTTGAACACGTCAAGTTTTTAAGGTCAACATGTCGCTGGCAGGCAGACAGTCGCAGACTAATACCAGACCGCAATATTAGTCGGGCAATGTGCAGTTTTTCCCACGTTTTTGTGCGCACAGATTTTTGGGATTAAAATCGTTTACCTATCAGTGGGATAGTTCGATGACTCCTCCACTTGAAACTCGCTTTTCAATATCCAGCCACGGCAACTTAAAGCTGTTCAAAGTTTCACTTTGAGTGCTCATTTGCCCAAAGTAATTCATTACAATTGCTTTTTCGGCCAGTGGAAAAGTTCTATACGCGGTTTCTAAGTGCACTTCAATTGTTTATCGCATCCGGGTACCTCAAAGCTGGGCTACAGTGGTGGTTTTTCGTTCATGAAAAGGATATTTGATAGATACACTATACATATTTACTCTGGGAAAACCGATAGCAGTCGATACCAGTTACAAACTTGATTTAGCTTTCACTAATTCCGATAACTTTTAAATTTGTAACATTTATCCGTTCCCACTTGGTAGGTTATCTGCCAGTCCACACATGCCTATTCTAGTACTCTATTATGTTTTACTCTATTCTACATACTATTTTTATATGTCACTGCAACTGCTCCAGACCTCTTCCTAATTTTAGAACACTTTTAGCTAGTTAAGCTACTTTTTTAATATATATATTTTCTGTATTATACATAATTGTATTCGTGTTTCATTTACACTGTTCCATACCATTTCCTAATTTGAGAACCCCTTATAACTAGTTAAGCTACGTTTCTGCACTTTTCTTGTTGCGCTTATTGTTACCGTACCCTGCTTATCTGGGCTGCTCTCGGGGTTTTAGTTAGAGGCCATGTTTACTCTTTGGGCGAAAACTGTTTTGTGCGTGTATTTTTGTGGGTGTGTGTGTATTTTGTTGGTAGTAAACACTTTTTCGTAAAATTTTCTCGAAAGAATGTTAGACAAACCGCTTTGTTGGCAACAATTTGGGTTAAAACTTAAGTGTTTTGCTTCGAGTTGCCGCATGGCCCCTCCAGCGTCCACAGCTAGCCTAGCTCTTAAATTCCTTGCCACTGCAGTGCTTTGTCGGGCTAAAGCCTTCTAACCAAGCGAGAGTAGGGGAACAAGTTAAAGGCGAAATGAAGCAAAGGGGCTAACAACCGACACGAAAAAAAATAACAAGTACAACAGCAAAGTTTACGTGGAAATTTTGTTGTGAAAGCCAAAGCTGCTTGCTTGTATTTAGTTGATTTTTTGTGCTCTTCCTTTTCATGCACATTCCCAACCGAACGAAAGGACACAAATTGTCCTTTGCTTCTTTGGCTTTTTGTGTTGCACAAAATTGGTAAAATGTACTTTCACTTGTGCCCCTAAGTAGTAACCTACAAAATGAAATGTTTGTATTTTAAAGAGAAAATCAGTTAAGAAGCTTCGCTTCTAAAAATAATTAACATCTATTAGAGAATGTTCCTTGCAACTTTTTCGTATGGCGTCTAGAACAACGTGTCTGCTAATTTGATTGAAAGTTTGATCAAGTTTAACAGAAACTTTGATATGCCGCAATGCCGAGCCCACATCAAAGCGTGAAAAGCAACCAAAGTTGATCCAATTACATTCAACCAAACCTAGCCCAGCCAAAAACGTATAAGTGTAAGCACAGAGCAAGACAGCTAAAGAAAGAGATAAGGAGACAGGGAGTGTAGGAAATATAGAGACAATCTCTTCAGCCATAAGTAGATAAATTTGTTTGTTCACATTTGGGGCAGCTTTATTGGTATCTGCTGAGCGTAACTTAACTAATTTTAAAGTTTTTGAAATGAGATCTGCAAGTGTGAATGTGTGTGCGCATGTGTGTGTGTGTGTGTGTGTGTGCGTGTCTGCATAAAGTTTACAGCACAACTGATTTGGCTCTGGCTTCGCATGAAATTAGTTGCAATTTTCGGCATCTGGGGAACATTTTACTATTTGGCTGCAGCAGCAGCAATGGCAACGAGTGGAAAAGCAGGAAATTGTCTACAGCAGCTTGCGGTTTAGAGCCAGCATCATCATCATCATTATCATCATCACAAAAGATGACACTTTGGAAGTTTGATGAGGTTTTCGCAGAGCAAGTGCACTGCCAGCTAAATATTTTGTAAGCACTTGCAAGTTATGCGCATTCTCTGAAAATTGATTGTTAATGCGTTTCCAAAGTTGCAAAATCAATTTAATTTCTATTCTCTCTCCCTCTCTCTGTCTTTTGTGTTTCATTCCATCGTTCCAATAGTTTGACATGTAGCCCTGCAGTCTGCAAAATGCAGCCCTGTCATTAGACCATAAATCGAGCTTCGAAAAGTAATGTTAAAACAATTTCATTTAGAAGCTCTGCAATTTTATAAGCAAGGACGAAATCGAGAGCTACTGCCAAAATGGATGTGATTGATATTGAAGAGCGTCCCCGAGTTGTGAACTCCGGAGTTATGGAAATCACTGGCAACTCAAATATGGTCAAAATACAGCGCCATTCAGGCCATATCGTATACAATGGCAACGATTCATGCATTTATCTGGGATGCGAGCCCGAGCAGCAGAACGTCGACCACATTAAAATCACTGATCTACTGCACGACGCAATTGAAGTTGTGCAGCTCCTGATAATACTGCTGATTTTCGTGATAATACTAAAAATAACTGATGTGTATTATTAAATAAGTGTCATAAGATTTAATATAAAAATTGGTCCTTTTTATTAATATACTTAATTGTGCTAAGGGAGTCTGATGGGCTTACAAGTAAATCTTAGAGATGCATTTAACTGCAGAACAGATAATTTACACTTATAAGTTGTAAATGTATCGATAGGCAGAAGTTTTCGATAATTTCTGGGGATTTTTACCGTCAAGTTAAGTTTTCAGCATTTGCTGGCGCTTTCAAAATGTTTTTAGTTTTGTAAGTTAGCATAAGATAAAACCTTCAGAGCTTTTTTAAAGTGTTTTTATTACAGATGTGTTTGGATCATACAAAAATTCATAAGCTTTTTAAAGCTCCAGTGGAGGCGATTAAATAGAAAGTCAATTGTCGAGCTGCTTTATGGCGTTGACTACATTTTATACCGGTTATGGCTACAGATCTACGGTGAACCAGATGAAACAGATGCCGTCATCTTCAACGAGCTTCCGCGTAGGTGTCGATTTCAGCATGTTTCAACAAACTGCCCAAAGAAATACTGCGAGACCTGCCGTGTGGACAGAGTCATTATGTACATAAACAGGGCCAAGATCTCCATTGACATTGCCCACTTGACGTTCTCGCATACCACGTTCTACTACGCCATCGCATCTGCCTGGCTAAGGGGCGTTAATATACGCCTGGTGACCGACTCCCAAATGATCTATGCCCGGGGCTCGCTGGTGCAGCGTCTGATAGCGGCAGAACTGCCAGCGCGCTGTTCCCCGGTGCATGTGATGATGCATCACAAATTCTGCATTATCGATGGAGACGATCGCGTTCTACAGCTTGATGGAGAGGAGCACCGCGTTCACAGTCGCCTTTGGCGGCGTAAGGGTTATGTGATGACAGGTTCGCTGAACTGGACCAAGCTGGGCACTGGCAGCAATTACGAGAACGTTGTGGTCACCTCAAATCGTGTGATCAACGAACTTTATCAGAAGCTCTTTGATGATATGTGGAAACATTTTCCGGTGCTCAATATGACAAGCTTTAGAACTAAGACGTTCGCAAATAATGCGCCTGACATCGTTTGTATGCCTTGGAAATTCTGGCAATAACATTTTTGTATATAAAAGAAAAATGTATAACTATTAACATTTCATCTGAATGCATTTTTAAGGACATTTAATACTTTTTTGCCCACCCCACCATGTTTATTGCAGCAAAGTTTTTCTCACAACTTTTCTGGCTGCCTCGACTACTTGTTACACATGATGCGGAAATTTCAGCAGTTAACCAAGTTAACAAATCCAGCACGTTTTCTTTTTTTTTTCTCCCCATTGTTTCAGTCTTGATTACACTTTGGTCGCTCATAAATTTGTATCCGAGCGGGAAAAAAAATCTCGCTGCAAGTTGCTTACTTTTCCAGAATGGCCAATATAAAGGGCAAAAAGTTTTTTATTTTACCTGGGCGATTTGAAGTGAAACTAGAGCGCCATAATGTGAAAAACCATAGCTGGAAAAAATTTGAAAGTATAAGCATTATTTTCCACTTTTTTATCATCAACTGAGTTGCATCAAATTTCAATTTTGCTTAATATAAATTTAAGTTGTGTGGAAGAGTATCAAAACAAATAATGTGTAATTATGTGCGATGTGTCTAAGGTAGTCGGTTGCAGTGTAGAAAAATATGAATGGGCAAAAAGAAAGGCACTAGGCTTAGTTTTTTTAATAACACTCCTTAAATCTCAATAGGAAAAATCAACGTTCCTCCAAATTCAAATCTATTTCAATATTTTCCAGATCAGAAAGACTATACATTTCTTTCTTTACTTCTGTTTCAGAAACTTTTAGCAGTTTGTCATTAACCTGAGTGCGCTCCATTAGGTGTGGATTGAGAGCCACTATTGAGCTCCAGGGTATTTCCTTGCCCATCATCTTTGAGCCCTCGGTCCATGCGACTGTAATCGACTGCACTTCATCCTGCTTGGAGTCAACTACTGCGGTATGCACTCGACCGTCGGTTCGACTAATACTGATTTTTTCACCAATTAAAAGATATTCCATTGCGCAGATACGTTCCAATATTGCATAGAGAGAGTCTATATTCCGGTGTGTCTGTTGTGTTTGTGCTGATTTGTTGATTTGTAAACGAAATTGAATTATTTCTTCTAATATCTACAGGCAGCAAAGCCAATGAAAACATGATTATATTATAGTTCTCAGAAGGATCGTCAATTTGTATACTAATTGGATAAATTGGTTGGTGTATAAAGCCTGGCAGACGGTTGTCTGCTAAAATCTATTGGATGCATTTAGGCGGATAATCGGTAATTTAACTGACAGATTTAAGGCACACACAATTGTGAATCAGATTTGATCAACAGTAGCCGTAAGAAGTTAATTCATCGAAAAACGCAGCCGGCGACAAATTCTAAGGACGGGTTTACCAAGTGGCTGGTGCTTTCATTTATCCACCCCACGCGCCAGTTGACTTTGGACGTTTATGTTCACATGGCTTGAAGAACACAACAAAATACGAGCACACCTGAAAAGCACAGATGCAGCTTCCGACTGCTATCCACAATATGGTCACCCTTGTGCCCAGGCAAATTTTATAGCCTACATTTTTTGGGAGAGTCGCTCGTAAATTTGCCCGGTAAACTCAGTGAGAGTGGATGTTGTGTGTGTGGAGCTCGCTTTTGATATATGGCCATTGCTACGTTGCGGGTTAGTACTTTTCAAATTAGATTTAGGAACGGTCGCAGCCCGTGAAAACGTCCAAGCTCTCGTTGTGGCCCTTTTCCTGTCACCCCCTGGACTGGCTGCCATAAAATGTAAGGTGAACCCAAAACGTTGCAATATTTACACAACACAATTTAAAGTAGTTGACGGGGCAACACAACATTGTAAGTTACTTGGTGAATATAATCGAAATAACGTTGCCGACGCTTACTGCCTTCAAGTCTAGACCTGATGCAGCAGCTAGGATTGAATTCCGATTCAATTTAATTAAAACAAAATCAACCAATTAAATGAAGTTCACGCAACGAGGGATCAAACGACATGTGTCTCAAGCCCAAGCCAATGAGCCACACGCGACAGACACACACAGACCGACTGCGACTTGTACTGCGCTCAGTCAGGTGTATAAACTAATTTACAGAAAATTCTATAGGGCATAATGGTCACGGCAAAACCGCAAACACATTGGGACCAAGGACCCGAGACCATTTATGTACGTGGCTATTAATGCAAATGTATGGAAAAAAAGTTTTCTATACGTGGGTGAATAACCTTGCCCCAGACCTTATTTTCTGTATAAATTTGGTGCCACGTCGCGGTTGAAAGGCTAAATGGAAAATTGGTTGGATATATGTTGACATATATCGCTTTACAGACTGTTTTTTTTAAAGATACATGAGATGGTTGCCTTTTCTTTTGTTCTGGTGTCAAACAAGTTTTTATTTTTTCTTAAACGTAACTTAAAGCGCTGAAAATATCTCATCTTGTTGACTTAGCGAATTCAAGGTATTCGCGCTCTGGGCCATATTCGCAATTTCAGTTACTGGGTCATTGAAAGAGATGGGCACGGGCCTCATTCTCGAGGCCCGGTCCGGCACGAGCACGAAAAATGCACCAGAACACATTTTTAATAAGCCTGGCCCGGCACGAACTACAGAAAAGTGCTACATTTTTGTTAGTTGACAACGGAACAGAACAATTTTGTGTCGAGGCACTTTATATAATACTATTTATTTGGTTTTGAGGCGGTTCTTTCAATTATTTCTATCGGCAGTTCTAGATAGGGGTAAAGTTAGCAGTGAATTTGAGATATTGGCTTTTCATGCTTTTGAGGTCAGGCGTGGGACTGTACGAATATGAATTTCGGGGTCCGAGCTTGTGTGCCCGCTCCCATCCCTAGTCACAATGCTAACAATGAGATTGACCAGCGACCGCAAAATCAACAAGAGGAGAAGCACCAGTCACAGCCGCATCATCATCGTCAATATCACTAGAGCACATAAATCTCATGGCTGCAGCAATCAGATGCGGAATCGGGAACAGAATCTGAAACAGAAACCAGTGCCAACTTGTCAGCTGCCTAGGCAGTCATGCGATGGCTGTCGGAGGCAGCCGCCAATAGATAGGATAGTGGAAATAGCGAATGGCGTCAAGGGCGCCATAAATGAGAATTTCCGACTCATTTCCGTTGTTTGCGTGTGTGAGATTGTGTGGTTCATTTGTGGCGCATAATGAGCATTGTGGGTTGAGAGTTTTGAAAACGTAACAGGAAGACCCAAAAAAGAAAAACCGGAACGGCCTGGCAATGTAGGTTAAACACGTATTGATTTTCATTTAAAGCAGCCACTTTGCCGTGAATCTATCTAATGGTATTCGTTCGGCCTGACAAAATATATTATAAAATTTATGATCCGCCCACAACTGCATCTGCAATGCTCAGTACCGTGCACAACTTGACCTCAGTCCCACCTGCAGTGGGCCAGTTGCCATTTGTCAGCATTAGCACAATTAGAGCCGGCGCAACTGTGTCAAGGGCATCATAAATGGGAAATCTCAGCTGTGCGCCTGCGGGCGTGTGGTCCATATTGATTGCCATGTTGGCACTGGGAACGGCCAAATGGTCGCGTGTTGGGACCAGCAGAAATACAATTCAATTTAATGCAACTCTGCCTGCTGGCAAAGAATATTTATTATGGTATACCCGCAGGCGCAGCGTTTTCCAATATACTTATATATGCTCGTAAATTTTGCAATATGCTCCTTGAAGCTGATGGCGATAAGCGCGCAACATGTTGATACAACGGGCAACCAAATAAAATACGAGAATTTCTCTTAAAAGACAGCAAACTGGACAGGGAAAATGGAGCTATTCTGCAAAGATTTATGCAAATATAATGGCATACACAGATTATCATTGCAAAGCATACTGAAAACTATTCGACTCCTGAATTGATAAAAGCAAAGAAAGAAAAATGCTGAAAAAAATCAGTAACATAAAAACCACAGACGTATATGAACGTTCGACAAAAATTAAAATATAAAAAAATTAAAACCAGACAAAACATACAAGTGCATTCTAAGTTACAAAAATGGCTTTTTTTCGAGATCAGGTCGATCAGATTAATCGACGCTGCACGCACACAACCAATTCTTTGTTGCCGTAAGTATTTAACTGTCCAGTAAATCAACTTAAAATACTACTTAAAATACTACTCAGCAGTAGTTACGATGAAGAAGATGAGAACGAAAGTAATAATCAGTTCGCGAATTCTATGCTGTCGCGGTAAGTATCTGGCTTTAAGGTAATTACAGTCTTGCATAACTTCGTTGTTTAAAGTCGATCCTCAACAAATTACCCGGGCTTAAAAATGACATACGCGCAAGGCTCTTGTAATTTTCAAGTTGTGCCTTACAAACCGATTTAATCGATATTATGGAAATGCGAGATGCGGTATATACAGAACGATTTTCTTTTCATCAAGTCTCTTACCTTTGTAGTTTTGAACTTAACATTGCTCGATTGTCGTCCCGATGAGGAACATTTATAATGTATTGGTCGGAGATGCTTTCTTTCGACTGTTAAAATTCTTCACAGCACCATGGTAACCAACTTCATTTAACTCACAGGACCCCATTGCTTATCATGGATTACATACAATTCTTGGCCTCTCGCACTATACAAAAACACTGGCGTGGATATCACATTCGTCGTTCAGCTGAGAGAAACCATTGGGCAGCCATTGTAATACAGCGTTGGTGGCGTGGCTTTTATGTGCGCAGGAACTTTATGAAGTTTATAGAAGAGAAGTTACAAAATGTATTGATTCAACACTACAATAAGGCGGCAACGAAGATACAAGCGCTTTTCCGTGGTTGGTGGCAACGTCATACGGTGCACGATATGACCGGACTGCACAAAATGCAGTCCACCGCTGCTGAGGATCTACTGACTTGCGTGGCCTTCAAGCTCCATCATCTGTTACGCACCTATTCCATACCGGGCGTATACTCATTACGCAACTCACAGTAAGTAACTAGTTAAGTTAGCACTGGCGTATAACAATCATAAACATCGAGTGCGATCGATCTTGCAGCTGTTTGTCTCGGGTGGAGAAGCTGATGGTCAGCATGAACTATCGCTTCCATAACGCACGTGCGCACGCCACCATCATAAATCGAAAGGCCACACTAGAGAGGCAACGAACGAATTTTAAAAATGCCAAACATTATACGCAAGTGCCCTTTTCGGGACCCAATTACAAGGGCAATTGTAAGCCCAATTGCGATGATATTCTCGCCAGTACAAAGGATATGGACAGGCGAATGTATAAAATCATAGAGAATTATGAAAAATCGCAGCGGGAAGCTAATTTGAAAATGGCCCGTTCTAACCTGGCTAAAAGTAAGTGTTTGTTTGTTCGAATCCAAATATTTTCTGTCTTCGGGCTTTTTTTTCAAAGCCTCGGCTTGTTATATATTTTCACAATTTTAATCAAACAATTCAGCAACACAGTACAATAATTTAACATTGCCATGTTCTGTTGAAAATATTGCAAGCCGTTAATATCTTCATAATATCTTGACCGATTGAAAATTGTGCAGATGATTTTAGTTGTATAACTCGATTGCAGGGAAGCGACACACGCATTCAAAAAAGATACTTGAACAAAAAGACAAATCCAAGCGAGATTTTTGTGGTGACGTCATTGCCAGCATGAGACGATGGAGCATATGGGACGGCACAAAAATGGAAAAGGATATCTTTCGAAATCCCGAAAATCTAGAAAATTTTCTTGATGACGCCTTTGACATTATGATGGATCTTGGCAATTGTCATTGCAAAATACACGTACACGACGTTGTTGTTTGTCATTGATTCTGGTAAAATTACAAGGCCACAAATAAACTATTCCAATACTGAAGAAATTGTTGTATATTTATTTGCCAAAATTTTAATTATGGTACACATCTTAGATTTTTAAGCAAATATGGCTCTGAAGCAATCCACTGCAATAACAAATCACGAGTTAATAAATGAGCCGCACACAACGATGTGTTGCTTACCGAAGATGTTGCCAAAGAAGCGCAACAACACCGTAATAAAGGAGGGTCTATTTGGATCCATCCACCTTTCGGTTAACTCGTCTGTTAGAATTTTTGTTGAGATTTCTCCCAATTATTCACAAATATTTCTGATCTTACCAAGATGCTCGCAGTCCAATCGGTCATTGTTCAAGTCTACTGTATGAGCCGTGCTCAATTCTGGAGTCGATTGTTCTATATCCATTTTATCGTGCTAGGAATTTTCACCAAAATTTTACTATAAATTTATATTACACAAAATGTTTATCTATAAAACTACTAATTCTCCTCTACTAAGCTGAAAAACATCTGACATTTTATTTTTTGTACCCTATATATGTGTGATTCTTTTAACATAGACTACTGTGTTTTTAACGGGGTAAGCACAACCTTAGTAAATATTTTTTATTTATGTGCTAATCTTGGCCAAAAATGAATGCTACATAAGTTAAATAGATAAAGCTTGGCTGGGTATGCTTTTAATTAGATACTTAAACTGGGTATTCATTCTGTAGATGATCTGGGGACGACATCAAAAGGCGCACAGCTGGAGAGAGACAAATAATTGTAATACGCCGTCCGAGCCAGTATCAGCAATGCCTTCAAAGCTATCATCGTCATTATTATTCTTATTCTCAGCAGTAGCCTTAAATATGCAATTACTGAATAACGAAAAATGTGATTTGGTCAAATAAATATATATACACACATACATGAATATATGTACATTTATATAGAGACTGCCGTCTTGTGATGTTAAATATTGATCGTATTCATTATTTGGGGCAATGCCAGACAAAAACAAGAACAGCAAAAAAACGGCACTCCGAAGATTAAATACCCTTGTGATTGTCGCGCTTGGAGAAGATATCTTAAAGAGCCAAATGTGATGGCATATCTCCGCACAAGAATGCATTTACCATGAGGTGTCGGACATTTCTTGACTAAATTATACTACCTACGTCTACAAAGGTATACAAGTGCAACATATTTGCAAAGGCAAAATACTTAGTTGCCTTGAAGTAATTTTCACCAGTATTTCATTAACTTACACCGCACACCGTTAGCAACCTCTTAATCATTAGGTTAACATCGTATACATACATATATATATTCATTATGCAGATTGGGAATGGGTGTCGACTTGTTGGAATTGAGGAATCCTTGAGGTCACAGCCATTGGCCAGCGACAACGTGTTAGCCGTAACGAGTACTGTAAGTTGTTTGCCAATTAATTTGAAACGCGGTTTCATTTCGTTTTTGTGACATATTTCTGGCTAATGCTTAATTATGACCGTAAAAATATAGCGTCATTGCCAGAACTTGGCAACTGGTCGGAGTGGAAGTCCTGTACGCGTCTACAATTGAAAGCTATTTAAAATTCCGAAAATCTATCTATAATTTATATTTTGTTCTTGAACCAATTTTGTTGCTGTTTAGATACAATGCAGGTGCAAATAATGGGTTATTTAAAATGTATATCTATGTTTCAGATATATTCAGAACTTTCTGTTTGTGAAAATAATGCAAAAATGTTTTTAAGTTTAACATCTGTCTTGGAGTGTATTGGCCCAAAAGCAAGTGTTAAACGACTAGCTTTCAGTCGTGCAAATTAATTGAAAAGTTTTAAATTTCACAAGTGTCGGGCACATTTCTGGCAATTACACTTGCCGTTAACGACCTAGAAACACATTTTCGTACACACCGGAAGCTATTAACAAAACAAAACACAATTCGCAACCAGAATCAAGCCTGAAGCATGCCCCTCCCGTTATCATTGAGTTAATTGTATGTTTGCGGGTGCCAAGAGGTAATTACAACTCGGATTTCAAGTATTTCACATGTCGATGTTAATGTCCTAGAATGAATTTGGGTCGCCCATAGTCAAGATGTAATTAATTTGAAAGCAAACTGATGTGGCTTGGTTGATTACCTCTTCCTACTTTAAGGTTCTCTCTACGCCTCAGTTGTCTAACATAAATGTGTCGAAGTTCTTTGAAAACTTATTAGTGGCAGCCATTAAATAGACTAGGTGAATGCCCCCAACATTTTCGTTTTTCGTGCAATTTTCATTTCGGCCGCATATTTATAAAAAATGCCAAGCTGGCGTGAAACTCTTTAAAACTGTCAAAAATTTGGAAAATAGTTTGTGTAGGGCGTAGGGCTGTAGGCGGCTTTTGACTAAACTGAGTTCAAACTTTTCTCTTAACACATTTAATTAAAAAGCGTGAAAAGTGCACATTGAACAATCCATTAAAAACTGACCAAATGAGTTTGATGCAACTTTTCATCTCATTTCAGTAATGTTGCCGAATTTTTTCTCGTCCTTTTTGTTTTTAGTAAATTGTTTGCAATTCTGCTTGAGATTTTCCAGAGCTTAAAGAGCTTATTCCGCAATATTTTTGCATAAAACTTTCTGTTTTATGGTTTTTTAGTTTGCAAATTTTCGTTAATATTCGTGTATTTATTTGAACAGTTTGGCATAAAGTTTTTAATAAGCTTAATTTAATTTTTTTTTTTGTATTTTATATTTTTCTCTTATCAATAAGGGCATTATAACACTGTTGATGATATTCCAAATGTGTATAACTATGCTACATATGTGAAAAGAACGTGCAGTAATACCCCTTTTTAGATTTAAGCTTTACTTCCAGAAATATTTCCATACCTAAAGATATCCTTTAGTATATATATCTTAATATATATTCAACTTTTTGTCCTGACTGAACGAATGGTTCAATTCAGCGGACGAATATTGGCAGAAAATAGGAATTCCAAATTACTGTTTCAAAACAACAATTCGATATTAAACTTAATTCTAGGCTGATTTAATTATTTGCGGCCGGGTAATTTGGAGAAAATTTATCAAATGTGAAACAATGATGTGGGAGTTATATGAATAATGCATTTAAATGCTTATTTTCAGTTAGATACTTTGCCTTTTTTTAATCAAAGCTTTAGCTCGATTCAAATACGACTTTAATATTCGTTTCGTTACTGCTGGTTGACTTTTACTTGCACCTTTTAGACGGGCTCTTTTGACATTCGAACCGATGCATAGATTTATGGCCTGGCAGTGTCGATTACTTGGCCATAAATCTTGTCATTTGTGGTCAGCATCTTGTGCTGGACCACATCTGGGCTAAGTTAGACATGTGTTGCTCTCTGAACTGTGATCGGGTGTGTGTGGTTGTGGTCGCATTATGTTTTCCTGAACGCATTTGTTGTGTTTTGCTAACTCACGTGTATCTCTGGCTGACATCAGACTTAACGCTTGCTGAATCTGTGCTTTTGGCATGTTGCTTTCCCCATTATTGTGCCATTAACGGCTTAACTCATTTTAAATGGAATGTCCGCTGAGCGTGAAATAAATATGAAAATGTTGCCTTGGCTTCTAATTCACAAAGTTTTTTCGCTAGCTGAACTTTAACCTGCCGCAGGTGTTAAAAATGATTTGCAAAATGTAAAACTTTTCGTTATAAATTCAGTAAAGAAAGCAGCACAACGCAAACATTTCCAAAGAAGTTGAAATTGCTCAAGTTTATTGTAGTGAAATATGCGAAAAGTTGAATAAATTTGCGAATCGCATTGCAAATAAATTTTCATATACTACTTGCATTCTCTTATTGTATTCTAGTTTTGTTGTCGCCCACTGTTGCTATTTTCTGCAAATTGCAATATAAACCTAAAGAAACTGCAAATGGTGCCAACCGAAAAGGTGATAAATGGACACAGCCTGCACTCTTACCAAAATAAATGAGAATTTGCAAAAAGCTTTAAATGAATACGGTAAGACATTAAATTAAAAGCCCCCACGCTTGATGAAGCTCATCATAAGTAAAGAAGAGCAAAAAATTTAAATGAAATGTTCATGGCTGCGAAAAATGCTTTTCTTTGATATTAACACTCTTGATAAAAATAGCTTCAATGTGTCAAAAATATGTGCAGCCCGTAGCCGAATCTAAGATGTGCTGGGAGAATTTTGACAGAGTTTGGATGAACAATATCATAGGCGGCATTAAACAGTAAACGAGCTATGATGAACGTATGCTCTTTTTTTAGCTAAAACGAGCACTTTATTTCCGAAATCAAGGCTCCTGGCACAAGACATGTTTTGACTTTGTCCTCTATTTGAGGATCCAATTTAATACATCTTTGAAAAAAATCAAATTAAACAATAAGTTGTTATTTTATAGCTGCCCCTTCCACTGATAATGTTCCATGCCGTAGATATTTTCATACAGGAGTTATGGGCTAAATTTGATCTCTTCTCAAAATTGATTATATCCAATTGCTACGATAAATCAAAATAAATTTATTTTGTTGTATTGTTTAATTTTAAAGCACATCATTTATTTCATAAATAATTCTTAATAACTGTCGAGCAGAAAGCGTTAACATATCACTGATAATGTGTCACTTGGGTGACGAATATATGATTCGTGTCTGTCTTATAATAAGTACTATGCCACAAAAGCAATATGTGCATATGAAAATGGACTGTATTTTTGTGTGCATTTCAGTTCAGTTCATTGTGGTCTCTCCCATTGTGGTTCGGAGCACCGCAGGTGCTTTGTCATAAATCTTATCTCTGGCCATGCGAATGTGTGAACGCCCCAAACAGTCAGATAAATTTAGTGCAAAAATACTTAAATGTCTATTTGTTGTGTGTGCTGGCATAAAATAACCAAAAACAATGAAAGACTTGTATGAAAAACGGCGCAAACAAATCACTAAAAAAAAAGAAAGGAAAAGTGAAAATGAAAAAAACATAAAGAATAGAGCTAAGCCCCGCTCAGTAAAACTATGTGCACGTGTGGGGGCAATGATTGTGTGTGTGTGTGTGTGTGTGTGTGTAGCATAAAATGGCAGTGCCAGCCACCTGAGCGTCACAAAATAGACTACAAAAAAACACACCCAGCAGAGAGAGAGAGAGAAAGCGAAGTATAGATAAATATATATATAAATAGAGAGACAGAGAGATAAACGAAGTGCAAATAGATGCTCAGAAATCACCAACAATTTAACAACTGACTTCATGTGAGCTGAGCAAACATAAACCTACCTACACATTACTACACACAAGCACACAGGTACAACAAGTCAGGAAGAATTGAATGTAAAGCTTGTTTTTCTTTTAGGTCGTTTACCAAATCGTTTGCTATTTCTGTGAAATTAAAAATCAAAACGTCGGAAAAGAGCCTAAATAGTAGAAGGACAAAGGTCCATTCCAGCAGAGGTAAAAAAGTATGCCCAAAAAAATAAAAGAGGTCTTCAGCATCTGCGTATTGGCTTATTGCAACTATTTGTGGCGTTTTCCTTTGCGATTTTTTGCTGCGCCAAGTTAATTAAGTGCCTCGCGCAACTTTGACAGCATACGCTTTACATTGTGTGCCTTTTCAAAGGCTTTCAATGCAATGGCATTTTTTACTTTTCCATGAATTTTCACTTGATGTTCGTATTCATATATACATACATACATATACGCATGTGTCCCTTTCAAACACGCAGTTCAAAGCGCAAAAAAATGTGGGCAGCAAACATATGCAAGGCACGTTTCGGAATTATGCGCCGTGACCAGGACGAGAAGCAGAACATGGACACACATGCCACAACCAGGCGACTCTCTCGCAAAATAAATAAAATATCCGCCAACACGCATACGCACACATACACACGCACAGACACACACACATACCTCGTGCATATTTCAATATAAGCTGCGGGCATTTCAGTTGCAAGGATCTTTTGCGCGGCAACTGCTCGCGATACATGCTTAAATTGTATCTGCCACGCCCACCTAAGCTAATCGTCACTTAGCGCCTCCGCACGGAAATTGTGCACCGATTGTGAAAAATATCACAGTCTGTTGATTCGGCAACGCACGACACGACGGCCATGAAAATTGGCCAAAAGCTCATCATATGCCGGGCTACACCAGCACCCCTCCAACACCTTCTATCCATACACCATCCTGCCCATAAACATTACACACTTCGCCGGGCACGGGCTGTAATTACATGAAACTAGCCGAAAAAGTTTACATTTATGAACAACGCGGCTGTTACCTACAAATGAGTATACGGCTAGGGGCAGGCAGCTCGTCATCTAGTAAGCTGCACATATACACATACATGTTTATGCCACCATCAGCGGCAACAGCAGCCGAGTGGTGCAAAAAATTGTTGTAAGAAGGCAGCCGTTTGGAGCAAATAGCTCCGTTGACACAGTTTCAGCGCCAGAGCAGCTGCTTCAACAGACGCCGCTGGCGACAGGGCTTTAAAGAGGCCCGAAGGCAGCCTCAGAAAGAGCGGAGGGAGAAACTCTTTAAATACTGATATTTTAGTACAGAACTACATATTAATAAGGGCTGCAAATTACATAAAAAACGTCGCTGGCTCAGTTCACCGAATTCCTGACGGTTCGGCTTGTGAGGCTGGATATCCACAACTATAAGCCAAGGTTTTTCGTTTATTTACCCTTGCAGAAGGTATTTAAATAATTTCTCGAAATGTGTAACGCATAGGAGACATCTCTAAGAGTATATATATTCTTGATAAATATCAACAGGCGAGTCGATATAACCATGTCCGTTTGACCGCCTGTCTGTTTCTCTGCGAACTATTTTTTTTTTTGTAAATGCTAATGAAGCATCGTAATGTTTAATTTATTGCACTGAATACATTGCATGTTTTACGAAAATTATTTGAGACGTGTCTCGCACTTTTACTTTTACAAACTTTTTCGGTAGAAATGCGATTCAAAGATTTTCTGATGAAGACTGACAAGAGCGGAAACCTCTGATTTGAACATTTGGTTCTTTATTCGATGCACTTCGAGCATATTTTTAAATAGAAGTCAATGAATAAAAATATTTAAAATTTTTAGCAGAAAACGCTCCACGGGCAAGACCGGGAAATATTATTATATAAAATAAGGCAAAATATGAAAAAACCTTTGATTAAGAATGTTTCCGTGTACAAATTGGTATTAAAGGTGCTTAAGTTTTCTATTTAATACATTTCTTTTCTTTAGCATTTCAGTTCAGTTGAGCTCAACATCTGGTAAACAAGTTCAGTTTCTGCTCATCCAATTAAAATTCTCTTCCACAACCCTATCCAGCTCCTCAAAGATTATTCAGACAGCGTCAAAGTGGGAGAAAGAGCTGATATAAAAGACCTTTTCACACTTTGCCATTAGATGACGGTTGTGCACCACAAGAGCTCACTTTCATTGCATTTGACCTCGGACCGCCTGAATCTCTCAGCATATTTTAATTACCATTTAGGGAAAAGCAAAATAAAAAATTAAAAACAAAATAAATAAAGAGCAAGAGACATTAAAGCGAGCTGCAGACGTGTCTCGTTTGCATTTTTTAGACTCTCAGTCTTAGCTACAAAATTAGCTGAAAAGGGAAAAGCAGACAACAAAATGTGAAAAATGTCTGAATTTTAATTTTGTCTGGCGAGACGTTAAATATCCAGGGCAGGAATTGCAGCTCGTAAAATGTGTTAACCTAAACTATCTAAAATGTGGCCCGTCTTAATTAAGGGCCAATCGATGTGGCTAAAACAAAAGTTGTTTTTTCACGCCGCCTCTTTGGCATTTGTTTATTCTTTGAACTTCTCCAATTAAAAGTAAATATTGTGAGTAGTTTATCTTGATTTCATTTCATTGCCGGCCACACGCTATGCTGTGCAGTCTGAGTTTGCATAGTAGCCAGGAGTTGGCCTGGCCGCCAGCCCAGCTCAATTTTGCATTCGTATTTCTATATTCCCAGGCGTAGACGTCCCGAGCAGCGTGCGCTTTGTATCCGCATCTGTATCTGATTTCCACTCGGAGTCTTAAACTTTTGTCAAACTTTGCTTGCCGCGTAATTTAATGCCATTTAAAGAAGACGGGGCCAAAAGTTTTCAGCTATCTAATGGCAACCGTAAATAGCAAAATACACATTGCGCTTTCATTACTTAGCTATGTTTTCGCGAGTCTCGTAGCGGTGGGCTTTTACTCGTTAAAGCCATTTTCCCTATATATGCGACTAGAATGTGTCAGCAGCCCTTTTTTTTCAAATTTAAGACTACGTTGATCAGTTAAATATACAGAGATTAGTATATTTTCGATTGGTAGAAGGCTGCAAGTTGTTGGGTCATTCCACATGTTGTGCATAGCTTATCTAGTAGTGTGCAACTCAGCTGCAGATCGGTCGCACGTCAGTGCTAAAAATGACTCATAAAGTGCCAAATGCTCTTTGGCACAATGGTACAATGCCACAGTGCCACAAATTTCTCCACACACAACAAAGCGCAGCGATTCTCATGCGCAGCGAGCATGAAAACACAATTCCTTAGTTATTCTGCTTCTATTTTTCCATTTTATTGAACGTCGTTTTCTAGAATTATGATTTTAGTTTGGACTTCCTCTATTCCATTCCCGTTGACGCAGACAAAATCACGTTCTCGCATACAAAACACAGGCATAAATTTATTTACGATTCAACTTTGTACTACAAAACATCATCTTCCGTCTCGAACGGCAATGCTCCTCCTCCAATCTCTCTACCAGGTCTTTGAAGCGACTTGGCGAATTCGGTGCGTGTGCTTAGCTACAGACTAAGAAAAAGTCTGAAAGGGAAATGGCAAGTTGGAAGGTGGCAAGTTTTATTGGCCCTAAATGTAATAAAATGCAAACAGTAGCACATGCGAGAAATGGCAAGAAATATGGAGCTGGCAAAAATTGCAACAAAAAAAAAATAAAACGATATATCGAGTGTGCTCGACTAAGAGCTACTATACATTATCTTACTAAAACACATTTTCCAGATTTGAAGACTTCTTTTAGCAATTTTGCCGTTCTTTGGAATAGACGCCCACTATAATGTGCATCTTTAACCTAAATATAAGTTAATAGAGAGGATTATTTTAGTGACAAACACAATTTTGTTAAACATCATTATGTTTTATTTATTCATTTTTAAATTTACAGGGTATTTTAAAATGATAAGAAATGGGGAGAAATGTTCAAGGCTACTAAACGCTTTCTTCTGTCGATCCTTAATACGGACGGGCGGTCGGACAGACGGACGGGCGGGCGGACGGACGGGCGGGCGGGCGGACGGACGGGCGGGCAGACGGACAGACGGACGGGCGGACGGGCGGGCGGGCGGGCGGACGGACGGGCGGGCAGACGGACAGACGGACGGACGGGCGGGCGGACAGACGGACAGGCGGACGGACGGATGGACGGACGGACATGGCTAGATCGACTCGGCTATATGCTGATCAAGAATATATATACTTTAAGTGGTTGGAGATACTTTCTTTTGCCTATTACATTTGTAGTGTTCAGGGTTTGAACAACTTGAATAAGATTTAAGCCAGCTGGCTCCTTTCTGCCCACGCAATCTATAACCAATGTTGCTATCAAAGTGGCCGCAGAGTTTACCAGTCCAACAATAATGGTACACAGATAGCTGACAATAATTGAGCCAGCATCTTTAAAGATTTTTACGGTATAGAATATGACTGCATTGATGCCACTAAACTGTTGAATCAACACCAGGCCGAGGGATATTAAAATAGGTTTTCAATTCTTTTTGCTCCATAATTCCCGGCAAGTGTCCTTAATGTTTTCTGAATCCTCGCTCTGGGTGCCTGTCATTCCTTGCAACTCAGCATTTACATCCGCATTCTTGCGCCGCAGCCACTGCAACGCGTTCTCTGCCTTTTCTTGTTTGCCACGCGGAAGATACCAACGTTGAGTCTCTGGCATAAATAACATTAAAATGAGAAAGGGCAGACAACATCCAGCGCCCACAAAAGCAAGCTGAGTCCAGGTGGTGAATGTGCCAACTGTATAGACCATGACCAATCCACGATTGTTAAGTAACGTGGGCATCAAACCAAGTGTTCCGCGCACCAAGGGATGCAGCGCTTCACCCAGATAGACAGGCAATGCTAGACACTCCTACGGTTAGGCCGCCTATCAAGCGACCAGTGAGCACAAGCCACACCGTAGTGGCGAATCCGATGAGCAGACAAGAAAGTATGAAGGGCACCGCGGTGAGCAGAATTGTTAACCTTCTGCCCACATACACAGCCAGCGGTCCCCCACAAACGATGCCTACTAAGCCAGCAAGTGGCATTATGCCGCCTATCCACGAACCAGCCTGTTTGCTAACTTCAAAGTGGGTCTTAGATGGATCATCCATCAACGGCAGCGCCGGTGAGGTGTACCCATTCGTAAAGCCAACACAGAACGAGCACAAGGCAACATTAATGGCTGCCAAAAACTGAGTACATTTGGTCAATTGGTTGAGTTGAAGATCCATTATAGTCCAACCAGCATTCGCTTACCTGAGTCAGGCTTATCACAGACTTTTGAGAGTCTTCAGCCATTCTTGAATATTGTAAATTTTGTTAGCATTAATAAACATTAATGAATGGTAGCCTACTTTGAGGCAATTGAACGCCTCATGTGGATGGATAAGGAGGATATTACAAAATATATACATTATTGATCAGCAAAACGAGTTGAATTGGTTAGCTATATATCAGATATTATGTATTTACATTTTTTTTTTATATATTATCTATTATGTATTCTCCCTTACCAGTAGAGTGAAATAATCATTAGGGTTGTTCGAAAAATTATATTTGTCTTTAAAGATATCACATCTTTAAGTTGGTTGTAATACCTTAAAATAGAATACATTTTTAGATTTATATAATTGCTTTCATTTGTTTAATATTTAAGCCTCGGATAGTTTTCAAATATATATCTCACTTTGCCTTCAAGCATTGTGTCAGTCAGTCAGCCGGCAACCACGCCCATTTAACTGCAGTTGCCTCCCACGTAGGCAGCGTCGTCATTGTTTTGCTTGTTCGTTTGGCCTTTGCCTGCGCCAACTCATTAAAAATTCCATTTTCATTTCGCCCATCATCCATTTTGATTTCATAGTCGAGTGGTTATCGTAGGGCAGTGGGGCGTACGTGTGCTAGTTGCAGCTGTGGGCCATTGGGATTTTGGGTGGTTTTGAGTGTATATGCAATTCGTTACGTTCTGCAGCGCCGTCACAGTTGCAGTCGCTGTCGCCATCGTCGTCGTCGTCGTCGTCGTCGCTGTCTGTGTACAATTTCAAAGTGTTTACTTTCTGGCCACATTGATTTCGCTGAAAAAACTTTCACTTTGGCTTTTGGTCTGCAAAATTTTAACTTGCGCAATTAAATATATTTTATTTATTCTGCTGTCATCTTTCCTACCCCCGCGTGCTCATAAATTAATGAACACTTCTGCAGTGAACCTTAAACGGGCGCGTAATTAAAAAAAAAAATAATGTACATACAAAATGCTGCTTCATATTTTACACGGTAAACATTATTGAATGGATATCCAATGAATTCGCATACACAATAAAATTTGGCCTGAACGGACCAGCGAGCTGGCCACAGTTAATTATTTGCCAGCCAGTTTGGCGAACGTGACGTATGCGTAATTTTTCACCCAACGCATATGCTTATCTACCGCTTGGCTGGGTGGGTGTGCGAATACATAAAATACATATACGCATGTATGTCCGCATGTAATGTGTGCATTCACTGATGAATTATTTGCCCGGCACTCAATCAATATGTATGCATAGTATGTATGTATGCATGCGTGGCATTTTGTGTGCGCCTGGCACACGGAATCATATACATAAATGAATATATGTAAATATAAATATGCATAAATATGTAATATACATTACCCCACTTAAAGCCCACTGGCTGACCGTGAGACCGTGTCTGCTATAGTTGAATCGCAAATTTAACCCAATATTAACCTCCAAGCAGGAAAAGGGCAGAGTCTGAGGCCAAGTTGGCATAGTTGAATTAATCAACAACTTTATACTGCTTTACTAACTGATGTTGATCTAGAACTCGTTATTTTTCGTTTTTAAAAAAGATTAACACAACTTTTGAGAAGCAATGACTGATCGATTAAACGTGTGTATTATTGGCTCTGGCAACTGGGCCACGACTATTGCACGGAATGTGGGCCTCAATGTGGCCAATTCCCAGTTGATGGAGCCTAAGGTAAATATGTACGTATACGAGGAGTACATCGATGGCCGAAAGTTAACAGAGATCATCAATACCACGCATATCAATGTCAAATATATGCCAAACTTTGTACTGCCGCCGAATGTGGTAAGTTAATCGCTAGCTGCTCCTTACGAACAGATAACCCAACCCAGTGATTATCTCTAAGTTTGCATTGGATGATGTGGTAACAACAGCACGTGATGCTGACATTCTGATCTTTGCCATACCACCAACATTTGTGAGCAGTTGCTGCAAAACTCTGCTGGGCAAGGTGAAGCCCCTGGCTCATGCAGTCTCGCTTATAAAGGGATTCGAGCGCGGTGACGACGGTCAAATCCTTTTGATATCTCATCTCATAATGCGACAGTTGAAGGTGAATATAATTTTTAGAAAGAGAGTAAGAGAGAGGATATTTATTATTTATTTCTATTTTAGATACCCTGCTCGGTGCTAGTAGGTTGCAATCTGGCTCATGAGATTTCCAATGGCAATTTTGCAGAGGGCACGATCGGTTGCCGGGATCAGAAATATATGCGCATACTGCAGGATATATTCAAATCGGCTACGTTTCGTGTGGTCGTCACAGACGATGCTGACTGTGTCGAAATCTGTAACTCTCTAAGGGTAAGCAAGTTGTCTGGTTCTCATTTATAGCTGAGTCCATTGGGAATTTTCCTGCACTTAGAATGTCATTGCATTTGGCGCTGGCTGTGCAGATGGGATGGAATTAAATGAGAACACCAAAGCTGGTATTATAAGACGTGGGTTTCTGGAGATTTTACAATTTGTGGATGTGTTTTATCCAGGCAGTCGCTTGGCCACTTTCTTTGAATCGTGCGGTTTGTCGGATCTGGTTACCAGCTGCTATGGTATACTTAATAATATTTGACATATACTTCTCTGTATTCACAACTCATTTCTGTAGCCAATCGCAATCGCAAGCTGGCTGAGGCTTTTGTCAAAACTGGGCAACCATTAAGCGAGCTGGAGCACATTCTCGTTCCAGGGCATGAACCCTTGGGCCCCATTACCTCTGAGCTGATACATATTATGCTGAAAAAGAAAGGACTTGAAGACAAGTAGGCGTCAGCAAAGTGTAGCAAAAAACATTTCTCAGCTAATCATTGTTATTGCTTGTTTTTATAGATTTCCACTTTTTACCACTATTTATCGCATATGCACAGGCGTTTATCCACTTTCTCGCTTGGTGGAAACTCTGCGCTTTGCGCGCGAGGACATGTGAGTACAAACGCAAACTAGCTTTAAATAATTTCTATAAATGTAACCCCCATCTCCCCTTAGCTATCATCCCAATCACATTTTCCAGCTGTAAAAATTAAAGCTTATCCGATGAAAATTCACGTGTATATTTTTTGTTAATGTCAAGCTTCAATAAAACAAAATTTCACTTCATTTGATAGATGATATCCATACAATAGCGGAATTCAGCCCATATTTTAGAGCAATTGCTGGGGATACTCGTAATCTGTATGCAAAATGAGGAACAATGCCAATGAACTGACAAATATGTATGCAACGCTTCCTGGCAAGACTGAATGCATAACTTGGTGCGAGTATTCCAAACAAAAGCCATGTACTACATTTTATTGTTGTGCGTCTTTTCTTTGGGGTTCAAGTATTCCTTGCGGAAAGTGCACTCCATTGAATGCACAGGCGCTCGAAGCACTTGCAGGCAACTCTCTAAGCACGACTGCTGAACTACAACGGAAATCACTTCACTCATAAATGCTTAAAGCAAAATGGTTTAAAGGGGGTGAAGAACGAAAGAAGGAAGAAAAACCACAGTGCTATTGTTTCTCAACTATGTATCGAATAGTTTTTGGTATTGTTTAGGTTGGGTGCTTCAATGGAAATTGTGGAAAATGGGAACACCAGCTGAGGGATGTAATCTGTAAAAAGGCAGCTGGCGAGCTGCTTGCCTAAGGCTATTCATAGATCTAAATGATTGACCCATATGCTCGGTTAACATAAGCTAAGCTTAGCTCATCTTCTGGCTAGGGCTTATCTATTTTTAGTATTTCAATAATTTCATCTAATTCCAGAACTTTGTGCTTAACTGATTTCATAATGCCTCGGCAATAACAATAAATATTATATTAGTCACAGTACAATTGCAAAACAATCAAAAGAGTTTGGAGCATTGACTATGCCATTAGAACCAATCGCGCTTGTTTAAGTCAATAGTAATTTATTTTGATAAATTATGTATGCAATTTATTTAGATTTTGTGCTACCCTTTAACAATATTATGTAATACGCGACTTATATTTTCTGCATAATTAAATCAACTGACAAAGGCGCTTAGCGTTGACTTTGTTATGCGTATGGGGATTTTGCAAATGGATTAGTGCAAATCGAAAAATTACTCAATTTGATTACATTATCGCAGCCACAGGCAACGGCAACAATTATTTGTGTAGTCTGATGACATGTTGCCCTGTCCGTGAACAAGTGGCGTATGCGCAATTTTACATATCAAAAAATAAATGAGAAAATAAAACTAATCAAAATATATAGTTTACTGTAATGTTTACAGATTACAAAAGGGACATGTTAAATTTTGATTTAAAATAGAAAAACTGTAAATATGTAACTAAAAATAATGTTTTTTTTTTCGCAATTCTGCTGTCGTTTGTATTGCTTTATTGTGGGTCTCGTTGCATTTGTTGGCAGTCAACCAAAGCTCCGCTTTACGTGATGAGAAAAAAGGATAGAAATGAAAATGAAAATTCAAAACGAATTTCAAACGTTTAGGCGCTCGGCTGGTCTACCCTTCGGTCCGCCTGAACAAACTTGCCAGTTAGGCAAACAAACAAAGCCAACAGTAACAGAGATACAAACATATGAAAAGCTACAAAATTTGCATATCAACAGACAGCATGGAGAGACCTGCTAGGTAAGGGTTTTATTTGCGCATTTCTTGTTGCATTTTGGGTAGCATTAAACGCGTCTCTCATTTTTGCTGATAATTACACGGTAAATTTGGCAAATGTGACGGCGAATAGCAAACTAGATGCACACTGGAGCAGAACGCACTATATGTGTGCGTGTGTGTGTGTGTGTGTGTGTGAGTGGGCGCGCCAAATGTGTTGCGGGTGTGTACACAGATACAAATACAGATACAGATACGAGGCCACCTGCTCTCAAGTATACACACACAAACACATGCTTGCGAAGCACTTCAAAAAATAAATAACAATTTTGTACGTAACACACGTCGTTCTGCTTATGTAAACGTATCTGCCTGTATACGTTGTGTGCGTGTGTGCTGTGTCTGTTGGCATGGGTGTTAGTTTGCGTGCGTGAAGTGCGCCTAAAAGTATACTTCATTTCCTGTTTTACACCAGAGCCACCTACTTCGCAAATACTTCATATAGACAACACTACAAATGGGCTGTCGTTCTGCCCATGCTTGTTGTTGCTTCCATCTGTGCATGTATGTGTATTTGATTTTCCTCTCCATGAAATTGAACAAATAGCGTCTATATAGAGAAAAAACAAAAAACACTGTGCCTTAGAAATATATACACTTTAGGTAGAAGCAGTTAATGATAGTTAGCAAATACAAATATTCTTGCGTATTTTCGGATTTCCATAACTTTCGGGCTTTGTCCTATATTTTAATTAAGGACCTTAGTTTCCTTTTTTCAATACGTTTTCAGGGACTTGTTGCTTTTGGACTTCATTCGTTGCTGTTGCTTGTGCTATTTTGAGCTGAAAAATATTTTGAAACTAAAATTCCCTTTTCTAAAGGGAATTGAATTTAATGAATATCCGCAATTTATCAATATCTTATGCATGTGTAAGTTTATTTTTAGATTTTTCGAAGGGACATCTCTTTTCTTTGCACATCCAACTATGTAGTTCCCGAGTTATTTGAACAGTTTTGTAATTGTTTTCTCAAAAACTTTTCGATGTGGCATTTCGCATTTTTCTCATTTCAAATGCAAAATGATGCGTTCCTTTGGCTAATGAATTTGTTAAAAGTTTTGGCAGCAAAGGCAACAGGGAAAAGAAAAAGTTTTATGAGAGCTGACCGAGTTTATTGTGTATAAATGTCCACACATACACATTACGTATGGACACGCACTGAGCGTATAAACTTTGACCACTTTCCAACCGAAAAAGTGAAAAACCAACAATCGGGAATAGCAAAAACAAGAACTTTTTGTTTTTTGTGGCCAAGTTGGAAGAGTTGGGAGGTAAGCACAATTGGAGAGCTTGTGTCTGTAAATGGGCCATTGTTTGGCAAAGCGTTTAACTATTTACAAGGCCTAATTGACAGCATTAGAAACCAAAGAAATCAACATTTTTCAACGCTCGTGAGTATGCTTTAAAATGTCGTGTGTCGGAGCGCAGTAGAAACATTTGCAAATATTTTATGAGCACTTAACTTAGCCCCAACACACACCCACACGCAGACACTTGCAATAAAAAGTCACATATGAGTTGGAGCAGCATGCTGGGTAGCTATATTCTCCATTGTGGGGGAAAACCTTCAATTGGCTTAGGGGTGTCGGCAACTGAAGAAGCTGCTTTTGTCATGGCATGTTGTGCGTGCGCCTCGAATGCTGAAGTTAAGGATGATGATGATACCGATGACGATGCAACATGACATGTTTGTTAAATTCGAAACGAAATCAATTTAATAAACTGTCAATAATGCAGCACATTATCGGCAAAATGAGCTGAACAAGTTAAGCAGCTACACGGTTCACATCATTGCGTAGTCAAAGTCAATTGAATGAGAGCAGCAAATGACTCATACACAGATACACTAGGAAAAAACGCATTTCTAAATACAATTGAATATTGTACAGCATTCATGATAATTGTTTTAAAATTGTAAGTTGTGCTTTCGGTGTTTGTTGAATAATAATAAAACAAAGCCTTAAATTATATTCATACCAAAATTCTTTGCAGTGTAACATTGAAAAGCTGCCAATTGACGCAAATTTTGAAAATGATCTGTGAAAATTTGATGAGCAGCATCTAAGACTTCGACAACTGCGTCATTGGCAAAACACAATGTTTGGCAGGCTCGAGTAATTTGTGTGGAATAATTTAATAGATGTTTCCAATCATGAAAGACGTGTAGAATATTTTAACATATGATTGACGACTGAAAACACGTCTTGGTTAGAATATAGTTATAGAATACAGTGTAGCAAAAATAATTCAGCAAAATTCATTTAGAAAATAACACGCTATCTTCCTCTTGTTAACCTTTCGCTGCTTATAATTAACGAATGCGCAGCCTTAGGCGTTATCCTAATTAACAAAGCTGTCCTCAGTTGAGCTGCCATTAGGAATTCGTGTCAGCCGGATTTTATTATTAGAGCTGACTGTTTAAGCTGCCAGTTCTCTTAGCTGTCATATCACATTTTAGCAAGGAAGTGGAAAGCGCCAAGTATGGCCTGCCACACGCTTCATAGGGCCACAGCTTCATTTCCAACGAAGTGAAGATATGCTTGCTCTAAAAATTGATAGATTAAAACCAAATGCTACAATTCAGAGCAAAAAAAAATTTTAGGAAGCTTCACCCTTGGTGCCACGGCAACCGGAAAATATGATGGAGGCTGACATTTTATATGCCTGCAAATATTTTCATGCCAATGTACGATATTATTTCTTATCTTTGGGCCAACGTGATACTCATCCGTTGGGCGGGGGCTGGGCATGCTTCTCGATTCTCTCGTTGCGATTACCATAACTATAAATATCGATTGCTTTGCTGGCAGGCATAGCCCGCGAGTGCTTAAAGCTGCCATCACACACAGCCGCACACAAACTAGACACACGAGTCACGCCCCCAATTGGACCTATACACACACATGTTCTCACACACACACACACACACGCAGGCATACCACAATGGCTGGCAACTTAGGGCTGTCATTGTTTTCGCCTTCGTCGTTTGCTCTCGTATCTGTGACGCTTTTATGTTTTAGCTATTGCCATTGCTTTTCTACCTGCTTACACTTTTACCTGCCTTATTTTTCTCTTTGACAAATAAATTGACATGCCACATTGCGATAGCGGCAAAAATACACAAAAACAACGAAAGCCAAAATGAAGCAAGCTGGAAAATAAAGGTTTAGTATGTGACAAAAATACTCTACTAATTCATCAAGCATACGACGCATTGAACAAAAGTTAAACAGACTAAATTCTGGAACACATTAATAGCAATGATCATTTTTATTATTTTTTTTAATTAAATAAATACATAATATATAAACTAAACTTAATATCTTTTATCGAACTACTTCTAATAATTGCCACTAAATTGAGTGACTATTTTGGAATACCCCACATAATGGATAGCTTCTATGAGAAAATACAGGCCAAAATGTTATTGTATCGACATCGAGTCGCTTTTGAGGCGACAT